ATAATATAGTTTTGTTATTTAAACTTCATTTATGGAAAATTTTTAGAATCCGAGCAGGTTCATTGGCTGGGTTCTCCTTGCCTTCAGAGGGAATCCTCTAAAGACATAGAGGGAAATCCTCATACATGTCAGCAGGCAATTCAAAGCATCCTTTTATATTACGATACTTCTCAGATATTATTACTTGCTCATTTGCTCTCTTATCTATCAAAATAGCAAATATCTTTTTGAACCGTGTAATTGGCCGAGCTTTCCTTCCAAGCACTTCTAAGTAATTTGAACAAATTAAGGTTAATATTTATTTCAACTATAAATGAGTATTTCTTGGCTATCTTGTCTTTGTCGCAATGACACAGCATGGTTCTGTAATGTAAATGAATATTTATCCAGAATAAATACTTTTTGAAGTGACATTCTTGATGCCTAGTGTACACAAGTGGAAATATCGAGCAAATGAGGGAAAAATATTGTTAGGGGAAACCAATGGACAGAATGAATGATTTTTGTTAATTGAATACTTACAAATTATAACTGCAAGTCTCTCTTTCCTAAACCAGCTTGGCTTCACTGTAAAGAGTCACTCTAAAATCTAAGACACTCTTTTGTTTTAGAATGATGGCTTCATCACTCTAAACTAGCGTGGCGCCATCCTATGACACTGAACTCTGGAGTGCTCTCATTCAATTTAAAACGCTTGACTATGAAAGTGGAGAGCATATTGATCGCAGTAGCTTCATACTTCCGAAACAATATAAACTGTTACTTTTTCGACACTATTATATTGAGGTGCATAAAGATGAGCGGATATGTAGGTAAAATATGATTAAAACAAAACAAAAGGAAAGAAAAGTAAGTAAAATAAATGTGTAAAGTGCGAAAAATATTATGAATTGATGGGAAAGTGTAACGAAAATGTAACATAGTCATCCGAAAAATTACAGGAAAATTGATTGCATTTACAATAAAATTTTCAGAAATTTATCGAGAGGTTTTAAAAATGTAAGAAGAACGTACGATACTTAAATACGCATAGAAATGAAGAACAAATCTAGAAAAAATGCATGAAAAAATTTTGGAGAATGGGTGAAAATTGTGAAGAAAATTTCTGCAAGTTTTAAACAAATATATAATTTATATGTAGAACCAGCAGGCTAGTCCGGCGTTGCACGGGATATATTATCCTTGTCAAATGAAATAATTCCAAATTCCATCATCCCGAATCCCATCATCAAGAATCCGTTTGATAATTCAAAACACCGAAAGCATCGAATTCAAAAAGAGACCAGGAGAAACCCATGAAATCCGAACACTCACGTATGCCCTGTTTCAAATTTTGAAGGATTAATCAACTTGCTACTTTTTTGAATGCAATTCATATCGACCAAAGTAAAAATAAAATTTTAATTTCAAATCTTCGCCTCCCCTGCTTTCCTTATCTCAGAATTCCGCAGAGAAAAAAACTTCTCCGTAATATCTGAACAAAACTATTTCGAATTTGCGCTCGAACAGCCGCTGAATATTTCCGTCACCAGGCCTGAATTTCAAAAACTTTGATAAATATATATAGGAATGAAAACATTTGCTAACTGTATGAAAAATTCGTGAAGAATGTATTGAAAACGAATGATTATTAATGGATGAAAATGAATGAATAATTCACTAAATATCAGCACCTACTGATGCTCGAAGACCAAAGATATTTCAAAAACTGAAGAAAATATGACTAAGGTATTCATAAATGTGAAATACGAGATAGTTCAATAATAATAACCGATAATACACAGATAAAAAATATATTTGGTTAAAAATAATGCCAGTTTTATTGAGGACATCTTTTGAGTTTAATCTCTCAAGCTTTCTGAGAAGAGGTACAGTAATAGGGTGAATAAGTCTTAAATTTTGTCCAAATGAAAGGTTAGGTAAATCCTGCGACGCGTTTCGCTCATCACTGAGCATCTTCAGGCAACGAGGTCGAGCAGCTGAGTAGACGAGTTCACTCAAGTTGCTTGCGGGTTGGCTGCCGAGAGAAGACTAATATAAGTAGTGAACGAAGCTACGAGTAAGGTTTTTATACAGTCCGTTGTACACTTGTTCTAGTTATGAAGTTTCAGAGTGCGTTCGGATCCAGTCGTTTGCTTGTTTAGGTATGGCTTTTTCCGTTGAATTAGAATTGCTTCCATTATTTGTAGTCTGTTGAAGTCTGGTTCGTGGCGAAGGATTTTTGTATTTTGTACCAGTTCTTCCCGGGTTAATTTGGTGTTGTGGTTGTCCATAGCGTGCGTTTTTGGTCCTCCAGAAACTAAATGCATTCTGAGCCGTCTTGATAGGGTTGTAGTAGTCATGCCAATATACGAATTGCTGCGGGGCTCGCACTCCCCGCGGTTACACGTGTATTCGTATATGACATTTGTTTGTTTCAGGGCTGGTAGTTATGGGGCTGTGTTGTTCTTTGGTATTAAACTGGCTTCGGTAGGGCTTTTGTATTAGATATTTATCAGCTGTAATCGGTTGTTGTTGTTTGTGCATTCCACGTTATTTCGAATCATCTGCTTGAGGATTCGTTCGTCAGTTTTGTATGCAGATGAATATTGATTCTGATAGTAGACCTTGTGGACTAGATGCTCGGGGTTTCTTGCATCGCTCGTTGGGTTTAATGTTTTTTGGGGTGATTGTTGCGAGGTAGTGGCTCAGAATATTGTCAAAGAGTGAATCAGAGCAACCGTTGTTGATGAAGGCTTGTTTTAGTTTCAAGATGCTGTCATGAAATAACTGCCAAGTATGTGATATTTTATAGGTGCGGTGGATTAATGCCTTGATGGTGCTGTCTTTATATCGTTGGGGGCATTCGCTGCGCGCGTTGAGGTATATTCCGTTATTGGCGGGCTTTTGGTATACTGAAGTTATGAAGTTATCAGTGGCTTCGATGTTGACATCCGGGAAATTTATTTTATTGCCCGTTCCGATTTCGTGAGTAAACTTCAATACAGAGTTGGGTTCGAAAAGGTTTTTGAGTAGTAGGAGGGATGCAGCGGAGTCAGTGACTATGAAGCAATCGTCGACGTATCGGCAGTAGATAGATGGTTTGATGTGGTGATTGGATTCGAGAATCTTATTTTCCAATGTGGTCATATAAAAATTGGCAAGAGTGACCTAAAGGGCTTCCCATACTGACCCCATCTGTGTGGAGGTACAGAGTTCCATCTGTATGGGTGGAAGGGCATTCAGTTGTGCAGGCTATTAACAACTTCTTAAGTATTGCTTTGTCCAGCGGAGGCGATTTTGTTGGGCCGGCGTATGCCAGATCACAAACCAAGTCGATTGTTGGGATTACCGGAACGTTTGTAAATAGTGATTCTACATCCAATGAAGCAAGAATACCGTGTGGATTAGTTGCTCGGATAATTTGCAAAAAGTCATCTGTCGAACTGATCTTGTATTTACACTGCATGTAAGGCACTATCATCCGATTCAATTGTTTAGCGATTCCATACACTGGGGTTGGGACCTGAGAAATTATTGGCCGTACTGGGTTTCCTGTTTTATGAGTCTTGACTGTACCGTAGATGTAGCCAGGCTTATATTCTCCTTTAATGGGCTGATATGTTTAAATATGTTTAAAATAATATGATTGAATGAAGGGCTCTACCACAAATATACAAATTTCAAATAAAAAATAGTAAACTCTACAAAATAAATTTTTAATACATTGAATTAGCAATGATTATATTAAAAACAAACTTTTCTAGAAGCCAGAAAGGCAACGAAAACTCAATGACTTTCTTTTTATCCTTTAGGGCGGCCTTTTACAGACAATCATTGCCAACTACGAACGGCGTACATTATCCCTTCCTTCAATGACGTAACTTCCAACAATTCTGTCCTATCGCTTCATCGGCAGCAAGCATCTATGACAAAGAATATCTATCAAATTCTATCATCCAACCTCCAGCAAAGTAGCCGGGTTGAGAATGGACAAGCATCGTCCGCCTACCCAGTTAAATTTCGGAGACGCATTCTGCGCCGTTCACGGCAGAAGAACAGTTTAGCAGCAGCATTGTAGCAGGAATCTCAGGAAACTGTCCCTCGTTAAAAATCGAGACAGGGAGCAGCCGCATATTGGCTGGAATTTCACAGCGTCATATATATAGGCAACGGCTTGCCGTCCGTGTCCGTTTCGATGCAGTGTGAGAGCAGGATATCAATAGGGGTGAATTGGGGGTTTGGTAAGAAGTGGGAGAGCGAATGAGTTTCTACGTTGACAACTAGTTTACCTAAACGTTTTGTATACTTTGTTTATTGAAATCGCAACTATACGTCATAACAATGGCGAAGCATATATTATCTTGCTCACGACTTGTATGTCATATTATACGATGGTGACTAAATGTATTAAAAAACTTTCTTGTCGAAGAATATAAAAGCAATAGATGAGTTTTTAAAAGAATTGTAACGTAAAGAGAGGTATTCCATATGGAATTATTAGCATAAAATCCCATATTGCATCTAGGTACAATCAACAATCTTCCTCCTGAAAAACTGTTTGATTTCCTGAAATAAATCAAACAGTTCGTAACAGGCTATAAACTATAAATATTGATGAGAAATATTTATCAAAAATATTTTGATATAAATTTAGTCAAATTGATTTTCTAAATAGTGCTCGGAATATTATTATTCTTCATAAATTCTCTAATTAACAAAAGAATAGCGATTATGGCGCAAGTCGTAATTTGAGAAAGAATTGGGGTAAAAAAATTGAAATCCACCCTAAAATTTCAAAATGCGGGAGTATATTCTAAAGATTTGTTCAGACAATAAGTTAAAAATAATTACCAAGTGTGGAAAGACGTCAAATAGTTTTTACAGTTTTTTAATGAATTGTTCAGTTCGATAAGGAAATTCTGAAAGACTGCATTAGAAATTTGAGAAACATAATTTTTCCCTGCCCAGGGGAAAATGCTTTAAAATCGCCGAATGACAAACGACGTTCTTCGTCATGGCGTGTTGCAGTGCCTGTGTATACGAAGTGCATAATACATAATGTTGTTCATTGTTTACGATGGGAACAAGCACAATGCTTAATATACTACATGATAAATATATTATGCTTAGAAAGGAGATGTTATCTGTAAGAATTGACAATGACGGTAATCACGGTATTACTTGAACTTGGAAGTAATGCTGGATGGGCGGGGCGGGCTCCCGCCGAACTTAGTCCGAAGATCTGAAGCAGATTATAGTGTAGGACTGATGGCATCAGAATCAATCGTCTAGTGAAGGTAAGACTACTAGTTTTACTAGAAATGCATGTCAGTTTATCATCTGTTGACGTGTAAAATAATGTAAATTGCATTTCACTCAATTTATTAATCATTCTGATATCATATATGAATGTATATGTAGTGATGGTTAATTTGTTCAAAATCAATCCAGCTAGGTCACTTGTTGATCCGAAACTATCAATATCAGCCATGTTTAAAAGAAAGGTTCATTTCCATTTCTTGGAGACCATAGCCTAGGCTATGAGATTTATAGTACCTACTGTGTACTGTTAATTTTAAATTTCCCCCTTTAAAGCACCAGTCCAAATGTCCTATAGTCTATCAGTATCAAAATGCACTCCTAGCTAGTTTCATATTGTAAATCATCAGCCATTCAGAAGCATAAAAAAGAAAATAGAATGCTGCCAGTGCCAGTTTATATTTTTATTTGTATTCAGATAAATTGAATTTACTTTACTAAAAAGTCCCTGAGTCACAATGCTTTTACTGGAAGTGACTGAGACTTACATTGTAAAAGCTACCTATAGATAATATTAATACTATAAATATATAGCCGCCGTCCGCTAAACCGCCGAGATTGCCGGGTGAGTGGACGGCGGCCATAACAACAGCAACAACAATAATAGTTGAACTAATAATTATAATTGTTGATTAAATTTGTTTAATATTTAATGTTTAACTTATCATATCATTATGTAATATATCATATATGTTGTTTAACATAATAAAATTATTCATTGTTCAAATCCTATACAATAATTAATCAAATATATTAATTCTATATATAATCTGTATGATTAAATTGAATTAAAATATTCGTGATAATCTTCGTTAATATATTAATGATAAGATGATGGCGCTCTGTCATTCCCAAATAAAAATTAAGGGTGGCGCACCGATGATTATTGGTGGCGATAGTCGATTATAGGTGGCGTAACGGTGGGTGGCCAGATCTGCCGAAAATCGACAATAAAACACCAATAAATCGAAAGGGTGGCGAGTATAGGTGGGAGTCATCGATGAATAATCGATGAGTAATAGGGTCTGAAACATCTATGGCTCATTGCAGACAAATCTCTCATGAGCCACCGATAACCGTTTGCACAAACTGCACAGTGCATGCAGGAAGATATAATTGACACTGTAATTTATCCAACGTAGAAAGGTGTTATTGGGTTGCGGGTCATTCGAGATCAAGACGAAACCATGACTTCGTTTTGTGTGCTTGGTTTTTAAGATTAAGTTCTGGTAAGAAAATTTAGCGTGAATTAGGTAGGTTCCAGTAAAACTGATGGAGAGAAGCAAGGTGTTCAAAAAATTGTCACGCCAAAGTGAAGCCACTGGCCATGTATCAGACTGTTCCTGATATAAATTATCCGATATACAATGAAAAAATTTTGTTGCAATAAATACAGTTTTTCCAGATGACGGCTAATCCAATTTTTCATGTTCACCTGAAATATTGCGTAAATTCATTGTGAATTTAGCGTATGCGCCAACTGGCTGTGTTGGAAGTATTGCGATCATTTGAGACTAATTATTGTATCATTAGGTATAAATTGTATGAATCAATCAAGTGTGTTCCATCATATTTACAATATTCTCAAGATGTCCCATTTATCTAAATTCAAAAGCCACGTTGACGTAGTCGACAGCCGCTCGGCATCTTTGTAAAGCACACACTGAGAGAAAAAGGCCCTACGTTTTGAAACACTTGGGTGTTTCAAAACCTCTCGAGCTTGACGCGCTTATATTTGTGCGGCAAGCGTCGCGTGGTCAGTGCGCCGAATGCTGTCGTAGGAGGTGGTTGTGTGGAGCCGCCGCTCATGAATGCCACGAATCTATACTGCTTACGGTTAATTGGCCCAACTCAATTCGGTTAATTGTTTCAACTCACTGCTGTTCTTTTGTCAATAGTAATGTTAACGAGCGACGTCTATACCATTAAATCGCACAGGAAGTTGATCATAAAATCGAAGATTTATTCTGGTAGTACCGCGCGCAAGATTAAGCAAACACTGCGACTCTACGTGACTGCCGTCTCCGTGGCTCAGTGGGCTAAGGCATGGTCGCGCGCACACGACTACTGTCTTGGCAGCGGTTCGAATCTCGGCGGGCGACTGATAGTTTCTTCAACCACAGTTCGATAGAGGTGAGAGGAAAGAGTGTAGTTTCATGATGATTGTACATACCGATATAAATTGTGTAATAAATATGTGTATAAAAGAATGAATATGTGATATAGTTTCGCTGTGAAGGAGAAATGCGTTGAAATCAGATAGAGACGGAGAAATATAGTTTTCATAATTTTGGTATGGAGGCGGCCATGGATTAAACTGGGATCGACCGGAGGAGTAGTATATGTTAAAACAATTTCATCAGGTGCTGGGCAAGTATATTGCATAAATTCTGAAAATAAGGTTTCATTCGCCGTAGACTTCTTTTGGTGCTCTAACGTTGAAACACCTAGGTGTTTCAAAATCGCAAATTTTGAAACACCTGAACGTTTTTGAAACACACGGGTGTTTCGATTTGGGTACGATCGCTCGGGGAGGATTTGAAACACCCAAGTGTTTCAAAACAGGGGGCCTTTTTCTCTCAGTGTAGCCAATTCTTGATGAATTGTTCAGTTCAAAAAGGAAATTCTGAAAGACTGCTTAGAAATTTGAGAAACATAATTTTTCCCTGCCCAGGGGAAAATGCCTAGCCGAATGACAAACGACGTTCTTCGTCATGGCGTGTTGCAGTGCTTGTGGATACCAAGTGCATAATACATAATGTTGTTCATCATTAACGATGGGAACAAGCACAATGCTTAGTATACTACATGAAAAATATATTATGCTTAGAAAGGAGATGTTATCTGTAAGAATTGACAATGACGGTAATCACGGTATTACTTGAACTTGGAAGTATTGGCGGATGGGCGGGCTCCCGCCTAACTAAGTTCGAAGATCTGAAGCAGATTATAGTGTAGCCTGTGTAGGACTGATGGCATCAGAATCAATCGTCTAGTGAAGGTAAGACTACTAGTTTTACTAGAAATGCATGTCAGTTTATCATCTGTTAACGTGAAAAATAATGCAAATTGCATTTCATTCTATTTATTAATCATTCTTATATCATATATGAATGTATATGTAGACTGTACTCTGTAGTGATGGTTAATTTGTTCAAAATCAATCCAGCTAGGTCACTTGTTGATCTGAAACTATCAATATCGGCCATGTTTAAAAGAAAGGTTCATTTTCATTTCTTGGAGACCATAGGCTATGAGATTTACTACCTAGTAGGCCTACCTACTGTTAATTTTAAATTTCCCCCTTTACAGCACCAGTCCAAATGTCCTATAGTCTATCAGTATCAAATGCACTCCTAACTAGTTTCATATTGAAAATCATCAGCCATTCAGAAGCATAAAAAAGAAAATAGAATGCTGCCAGTTTATATTTTTATTTGTATTTAGATAAATTGAATTTACTTTACTAAAAAGTTCCTCAGTCACAATGCTTTTACTGGAAATGACTGAAACTTACATTGTAAAGGCTACCTATAGTTTGCTTAGTTCCCTGAAGTTCAGACTGCAGAACAATTGTATTTGGGCTGGAAGTGCAACTAGAATCCATGATTAACTTTTGTGCCAGAACATTAATTGCTTTCAATTGTTATGAGAATTTCTGCAGTATTACTTTACCTAATTTGCTAAAATTTTTACTATTTTCTAGTTTCTGTCTGCCGGTTGGGGAAGTGTCCATGGATGCGCAATGCCGAGTTCCTGCCAATATTACAGCCTGGCCCTCGCTACATTGTCAAATGAATTGCTGTGAAGTAGGGTGATGCATGAATTTTATACTAGAATGCCTTTTTAACAATTTTCTCTCATAATTTAGCAATTAACCTCACAATTTTGCAGTAATAAAAACATAGAATATAAAGAATTTGTTTAGAAAATATCATAATTGTTTTGTGGATTTGAAAATATTAGTGAAATATCCAATATCTTGTTTTCAAATCATACAATATGCTGTGCTTTGACAGTTTGACATGATATAACATTGATGATTGATGATCTTTGTGTAGTGTGATCCAATATTATTTGCAGACTCTCATAGTTTGTTGCAATATTAAATATTGACACAGTTGTTACAAATAAAGGTCTTTGATGAAGGGATTTAGTATTTGGCAATGGGACTAAATTCTATTTGGTGAATATTTATTTGAATAAAGCGTCAATTCTGTGCAGGTTTACATAGTGAAACTTTAAAAGCTGGTAGTATCAATGGCATAAAGTTCTAAGAGAACTTGCAGTAATAATTTGGGACATTTTTATGTGTTGTCATCTGACTTATTCCTCTTATTTTGTTAAATGGCCTATATAAACTGCTGAAACTTGTTTGCTTCAATTTATTAAAAGTATGTGCTGGAGTTCAATGAATTTATATGGAATGTTTCTATAGTTTCTAACTTTCAAGCACTGATGGCTATTGTGTTGAGCCAATTCTTGTTGTTAATTTTGAATGGCATTTCAGAACTGTGTGAGGCAGAGAGTCCGCCCGCGCCACAACATCCTCAAATCCCTTGCTTGAACCAGCTGGGGAAAGCAGAAGAAAACCCTCCTTGGGACTTTCAAGGCCTTCAATAACTCCCTCATCACCTACGCTGCCCCAGTGTGGTTCTAACGCCTCTCCTTCGGCAATCTCTAAGTTACCAACCATCCAGAATTCTGCTCTCCGCATAGCCACATGGATTTCTTCAAATGGCCCCAGCTCCCCACCTGCACAACGAAGCTGAGGTCTTTCGGGGTCCCACTCCATGAAGCTTCACGATTCAGACCCGCTTCCTCCCTTCCGTGTCTTACTTGCTGGAGAAGGGGTCCCTCCCCCTTGACTCCTACTCCGTTGCCCTCAGCACCCTGCACAGCTCAGCTGTCTCCTCCTACCTGTCCTCAGCAGCTCCTAGCAAGGTGTGGCTGATCCCTGCCCCCCTCTATCTCTTCCAGCGAGCAGTTCCTTCCCAGAGCAGCCAGAAGCGCTCTCCCAGCTCCGCTCTGGCTACTCACCGCGACTTAACTTGTACCTTGCTCGCATTCGAGCAGTAAATAGCCCTCTCAGCCCTGAGTGCAGTGCAACGGACCATACCACTCATCACCTCTTCAGCTGCCCATCGCACCCCACTGGACCTTTGGCCTAACCCTGGACCGACTGCGGCGTCCCTCACATCACTCCCATCCTTCTCCGACATAGTACTTGGACTGGATCTCCCGCTCCCTCCTCCTCCCCCGGAGCCACCGCCTTTACTGGGGCGCCGCCGAGCAGCAGACCCCGGCAACTAACAACAACAACGACGACCTATCCCTTATCTCTCTCTCCAGACACTCCGGCGACCCACCTTTCCTCTCCTACATCTTCCACCATGCAGAGGCACCTCTGTGCGTGCGTAATAACCGGTGAAGAACATGTATGAAAATGTTGGTTTATTGTGAAATTTACCGAGCCTAGTTGCCATACGGTTACTGCAGATATCGAATTATTATCTCTTGATAAATTGCATGGTATTCAATTACGAATGGCTGGCATGTTGTGCAAGATGACGAAAGATTTTAATGCTGAAAAGTAGCACCTAATTATTGTTAACACGTTGACTACGATTGTTTCATCTTGTACTATTATTTCATTGTTTGTACTTTTTTTAAGCAGGGTTGCCAGACGGTCATTTTTTCCGGACAAATTCCGTGATTTAGTTTTTCTCAATTGCGTTGGCCGGCTAAAATTTATAATAGGGGTACTTCCTAATTAAATTTTAAATACTGCAAAAAGTAAATAAATGGAATTTTTATAGCGAAGCCTACAGATAAACTAGTATACATTGAATTATCGGCCACTTTTGGCCTTTTTTGTTCTCGGATTCGGCCGATTTTAGGCAACCTGAATTATGTACCACTACCTTCTGGAGAAATACATTTCGTGGTATACGCATATGTACCAATACGTAGTCAACGTGTTAATGCCGGTATTTCGTACTTCTAAAAAATTTTCCAATGTCGATACCAAATGATCTACATCATTTCTTCTCGTTTGTTGAATGTCGTGTCTGGTGAACGTGATGGCTTATGCTGTATTCTTTGGTATTAGATTAATAATCGAGTGTGAATTTAACCATCACATTTTTTTTATTCATTTTATCAAATGTGTTTTTCTAAATTAACGCTATAATTTATTGATCTTTTTTATGACTATTTCTCGATTTGCAATTAATGTGTTGATATAAATACCAAATGCAAATCGCCATAGCCTTTTCATATCTAGGTTCAGAAATTAATTTGAAGCTGTTGAAACGTATTACCTTAACAGGTTGGACGGTTGAGGTAACGCTGAACTTACGTTGATGTTAGTTCTTGCATCGAAATATAATGATATAATTTTTGCTACATCGGTTAATAGGGGTTTGAGCATTTTTTGGTTAAGGAAGGAGATAACCGATCATTTAATCTCGTTTATATGACTTATGATTGAGGACTACTGTATTAATTTAATTAATGTCGCTGAACATGTTAAGATTATTAACATGTTGCTGATTTTTTGTCAGAAATAGTTGTACCAGAATATAGAATAATGTTCATAAATGTGTTATTGCTGATTATTGCGAGTATGTATGCTGAATTTTTGTCAGAAATAGTTGTACCAGAATATAGAATAATGTTCATAAATGTGTTATTGCTGATTATTGCGAGTATGAATGATGCATAAAGCCAGTAGTATATGTATATCATACTCTAAGCGGCGTTTCTGCCAATCCATCTTTTTTGCATAGGTTATGTAAATGTGTAAAAAATTATAATAAAAGTTTAATTGTGTGGACAGAATTCTTTAGTTATCCCCGAAAGAAAATAAAGTAAGCCTGAAGAGAGCAGGTATAGGGCAGCGTATGGGGCGTGTCGGCTGTAAGTGAGCCGGAGCCCGGCAGGACTGATTAGTTGCAGCCGAGCGCCAGCGCCCAAATAAGGCCTTACGCAGAACGTTTTGAACACCTTAATAAGCGGACATCCTTGCTAGTTTTCTGCTTCCCTGATGCTTCTATCATGCTCTTGGTTCAGCGCCGGCCCAGCTTCTACACTGCTTCTAATTTTGACTGGGATGGTGGAAGAAGAGTTTTACGGGTAGGGGGGCCATCGGCAGGTTATAGGTGTGGGATAGGTGGTGCACACCACTCTTAATTCACTATATAAATCATAGTCGTTCCACCTATGGCGTCCGCTGATAGCCATCCTAAAAACATAGGTGCTCCACTCTTAATTTTTATTTGGATTGGTCGCCATTTGTCGGGCAATGATAGCGCCACACAAGATGGCGGCTGCTGGCATGCCACATGCCACGCAGGATATTCACTGCCGTACTCCCACAGGGTGAATGTTCGACTCCACATCACGGACCAGTGGCCCACGGGGGGACCAGCGGTGCCCAGTGACGCCGACCTGCAGGCGGCGTATCAACGATACCTGCGAGACTTGCGCCACCGAGGACAATAATGTGTGTTTTGTGTGGGATTAATGAGGCTGTGTGTGTTTTGTGTGGGATTAATGAGGCTGTGTGTGTGTTTTGTGTGGGATTAATGAGGCTGCGTGTGTGTTTTATGTGGGATTAATGAGGCTACTAATTGTGTGTTTTGTGTGAGATTAATTAGGTTGTGTGTGTGTGTTCTGTGTGGAACCCAGTTAAAATTTAGGGCAGGGAATAGAGTAGGCCGTCGCCGGCTGTAGAGCCGACGTACAGACGCGACAGAGCAGCGATAGAGCAGAAATGTCCGTTTTAGAGACGATATCGCCAGCCGCGTATCAGCGCTAATTAGCTGCTGAGTACCTGCCCAGGTGTGCTCTGTCCTGCCGTCACGCAGCCCTTACTGAGCACCACCTGCTCAAACCTGCCCAACGCCTGCTCTGGGGCGGCTCTGGCAGTGTACGCGGCAGTTACGCCTCACCGTTTGTCAACAACGATTTAAAAAAAGTTGTTCTTTCTCTCTCTGAGATCACCTAGACTTCTCTCTTGCAATGACAGGTTGTATTGACATTGGTTACTGACATTCTCATCCTATTGACTTTAGCAACGTAATTTAGAATCTAGCAAATTCAATTATCGAGGATATATACACATCAAATTACTCACCGCTATGAACTATCTGCAAATGTCGACTGAAGCTCCGGGATTCGAACGCAGATCCTCCGCGTCGTAGTCCACGCCTGTACCAGTTGACCGCGCGGACAGCTTACCAGCTTAGGCTCTATGAACTACTTAACTATAATACGGAACAAATGACTCGCCATCATCTAGCAAATCGAGGAATAGCTATATTTGTGGTTGAACTTGATAGATATTATTCATAATGCACTAATTTTAAAAAATGAACAAAGTAGCCATTCGTATGATCCCGTCAGTTAGATGTAAGTGAGTATTAGAGCTAAATTTGTTTAGTAATTTATCTTATTGCATTGGCTTCATGTCATTAGATAGTTTGATAGGAAAATTAACAACGTACACAAATCATTAGTCTACTGAAATCGCAAGTTCTCCAAGAGTTTTCATGCAAAGAAAGCGCCAAATAAATTCACCATATCTTAAATGAAAACGTTTCGGAGACCAGAATCGAAATGCAGGGAAAGTCGATCAATTTTATGAACCGATGATGGTGCTGGTTTACACATTTTCATTGAAAATATGGTGAGTTTCCTCGGTATTTTCTTTGCCCTGACATTTACTGTTATTAACGCGTTTTCTGTATATCCATGTTAGAAAACTTTCTCATGATAAACTGATTGATATCTCGCTTTAGCAAAGCGTGAATGACCTTCAACGTTTCTGTTAGAGTGTTAAAACTGGAAGAGCATATAAAATTCTTACGTAATTTGAAGTATTAAAATACTGACGTGAAATAAATATCACAAATGGCGCCGGAAATTGGCCCAAAATATCGTGCTATGCGAATGAACTAGATCGAGGATGAAGTTCATTCTCCTATCACTGTTTCCAACCCCTACCCCTCATCCCTCTCTCTAAACCCCCCCATGCACGGCCTGCTACCTGCTCTGTACAGCTCCCTGCCGGGCAATGCCAAGTACCAGCGCTAAAACAGCGCAGAGTTCCGTCCTTGCCGAGCTGCTAGAATTTTGTCTCTGTATCAGCCATGGCGCAGCGCAATTTTAGGGATAGATGGCCGGTTATATAAATTAATGATGCTGTATTTGTGTTATTTATAAGTATGGATGTCATTCTCTTCACTGTCATTAATATATTACCTCACTTACGGCATAGCCAGTCTATCTGCAGTTCAATATCATTTTATATAATTAGTGTTTACTTGGTTTTATCTGTAACGCAATTAGTTTGATATTTTCTTGAACGAGTTTTAATTTATGAACATAATTCTTGTATTGTTGCAGGGAAGAGCAGAGAAGCTCTCATCGCTTGAGAGGGAGCAATACAGAGAGAGAGATAGAGAAAGAGAATCCATTCCAGAAAATCCATGTCTGCACTTTAGAATGGATTTGCCGACTCCAGGGTACGTTTTCT